TCACATTTTGGTGTAGTTTCTTCTGGTTCTTTTTAAAATTTTTATAAAATTGGAATATTACTATATATGCTAGGATATAATATAAAATTTTAATGAATGTGTTATAAACATATTCCCAAGCCATTAGAGAGGTTTTTTGTTTTGTTTTTTGCAAAAATATTTTGTTTATTTATTTGTGGTATTGAGGCTCAAACCCAGGGCATACACTTTCTACGATAGTGTTTTGCCACTGAGCCCTGTCTAAAACATCCTGCTAAGGGGGCTAGTAGCACAGGGAGGCAGAAGCAGGCAGATTTTTGTGAGTTTGAGGCCAGCCTGGTCTACAGAGTGAGTTCCAGAACAGCCTAGGTACACATAAAAACCCTGTCTCAAAAAAAACTGAGAAGAAAAAAAAAAACATATTACAACATCCCAAGTGGCCTTTAAAGTATCCTGTTTTATGGATGGAGCATAGTCTGCCTTAACGTGATCAGTGGGTATTTTGAACCTTCCTTTTTTGTGTGCTATCTTTTAAAATTGGTGTACACAAGTCATTGTTTGTAAATCTTGGGATAAGTTGCCAAAGCTGTTGAGAGAGTGTGACTCTGAGGCTGGTTTGTGTTACAGCCAGCTTCCCAGTGCATACCCTGCTGCAAGCACTGGAAAAACGCCCGTTGTCATGACGTCTCACCCACACTCCTGCTGGTGTCCAGAAGGGCCTGCCAGTTTGAAGAATTGGCATCTTTGATTCCTCCATGTCTAGTGATTTTAGTTTTCCACGAATTGTTTGTTTATGGGTCTTGTTCACTTTTTTTTTCAATAGTGAAGATTTATCTTTTAGCCACTGTTGTTATGTAAGAATTCTTTTATGTTAAGAATCTTCTACCAGAGGCTGAACAGAGGTCTTCACAGTTTAGAGCACACATTATACTTGCAGAGGACCCCAGTTCAGTTCCTAACACCCACGTCAGGTAGTGTAACTCTAGCTCCAGAGGATCCAACACCTACTTCTGGCCCCCTTATGGCTTCTATGGGCTTCTCCACTCTCGTAAATACCTCAGCATGCAAATATACATGCATTTACATAATTAAAAATAAAGATAAATCGGGGCTGGAGAGATGACTAAATGGTTATTAAAAACACTGCTTGTGCTGGGCGGTGGTGGCACACGCCTTTAATCCCAGTGCAGAGGCAGGCAGATCTCTGTGAGTTTGAGGCCAGCCTGGTCTACAAGAGCTAGTTCCAGGACAGGCTCCAAAGCTACAGAGAAGCCCTGTCTCGAAAAACAAAAACAAACAAAACATTAATTGGTCTTCTGGAGGACCCAGGTTCCCAGCACCCACAGGGAAGCTCACTGTTGTAAGGAACTGTCTGTAAGTCCAGTTCCAGGGATCTGACACCTCACATAGACAAATGTGCAGGCAAAACACCAATACACATAAAAATAAACAAACAAATGAATAAATAAAAATTAAATCTTTCTTATTTAAAAAAAAAATCCGGGGCGGGAGTGATGGCTCAGAAGTTAAAAGCACTGGCAGCTCTTTAGGAGGTCCTGAGTTCAATTCCCAGCAACCACGTGGTATCTCACAACCATCCATAATGAGATCTGGTGCCTTCTGGCCTGCAGGCATATATGCAGACAGAGCACTGTTTACATAATAAATAATAAATCTTTTTTTAAAAAAATCCTCTGCCAAACAGTTTACTTTTGTAAGCCACAGGAGCTCTTCTGCTGGGCATCACTTACCCAACCCACTGAATTGGCAGTGCTCTTCCCTCTGTGGTAGAACATGCTTTCCTGGACACAGGTGCTGCTGGCTTCTTCCTGTGCTGCTCCCCACCAAAGGCTGGTGTGGGTCCTTGCCAGCCTCTGCGTCTCAGACCATGTTGAATGTAAAACTAACAAAATAGCATAGAAAGTAGTTGTTTTTATGAAGTTAGAGTGAGCGTTTCAGGAAGACTCATAAAGGCCAGAACTAAAAAGTTGCTATGGAAAGGGAGAAGAAAACATGCGGTGACCAGAATGGACCGTGTGCATTAGGAAGACTCTGCAGCGGACCTTGGTCCTTGTCTCCAGGTAGGACTTAAAAGAGATGATTGTAGTCATAGCACTCAACTGCCAAGGACAGTCCTTGGTTGGGACTAGCAAAACACACTAGGTAGGAAAAGGGCCACATGTTGATAAAAACGGATTCTGGGGCTGGAGAGATGGCTCTGAGTCAAGGGTACTTGCTGTGAAAGCAAGAGGACCTGAGTTCAAGTCCTCATCACCTGAGGGAAGGGCAGATGTGTGTCCAGAACTCCAGCATTGAGGTGGACATGAATGGGTCCTTGGAGTTGCCTGCCAACCAGCCTAGTCAAAATAGTGAACTTTCAGGCTCAAAAAAATATTATAGAGAGCAATACAGGAAAACACACAACATGCATGTCTGGCTCAGGCCTGTACCCAAAATAACACATGTGAATGTATGGCACACACAGTTCCAGGTCTTAAACGTTTCATGTTACTTCACTAAAATGAACAATTACCTGTCATTTATTAGTTAAAGATTTTTTTTTCTTTTGCCAAAAGCAAAAATAAATCTCTCCTTAGCCAGCGTTTTTAGTCAGTTGGCAGTTAACCCCTGACCACATGAACACTTGGAGTGCTTGGTAAGCCTGGACAGAGGACAGGCCTGCTGGGATTTCTCTGTTCCCACAGCTGGGAGATGGCCACATGACTCGACCTCATCCTTGAAGTGATCTTTGCCCTCAGTGCATAAAATGAAATGACTGAGCATGGTGACAGTCGTCAGTAGTGGCGGTTTGTCCTGTAGGAAATGACCATCGGAGCTGAAAAGGAAAGAATTGCGCTCCTTATGCTGACTTCTTGCAGACATCCTTTGCATGGTTCAGTCCCCCTCATTCTTTGAGACAGGGCCTCACTGTGTGGAACTCAGTCGATAGCCCAGGATGGCCTCACACTCTCCATGGACCCAGACTAGCCTTGAACTTAAGGCACTCTTCCTGCCTGAGGCCTCCCTAATGCTTGAACTACAGGTGGCCTTTTATATTTGGCTTTCTGGCATTTTGTTGTTACAATTTTGGGTGAATGCAGTCAGATAGATCTCCAAGGTTGGTTTTACTGCCCAAAAGAAATGGTGTTTGTTGGGGCGGCGGTGTGTGGGGTGTAGTATTCTAAATCCATATGGAGGCATGGTAATTGTTGTTACTGTTTGTGTGTGGCTCGTTTGTAAGTCTTCCACTCTTCTCAAGGCCAATCTCTTTCTCAAGTTTGATTTCTCAGTGTGATTTCACTTAAGTGGAGTTGGCATTTCAACTCCTTAGCGCCCTGCGCTGCCATGCGGAGTGGCCTGTGCTGTCATGTATAGCTCCCTGCATTGCCATTCCTTCTGGATAAGATTGATCTTCTCAGACAAAGCCCTTCTGCAAATTGGTATCACAAAGGTGACCTAGACAGTTGGAGTACAGTTCAAATGTAAAGAAGATAAAAGAACAAGAAACTGTCTATGAGCAGTACCCATCTCTAGTGCCAGCAGTGTTGGTCAACTCCAGCTTCAGATGTGACAGACACAGAAGGGAGGCTTTCTTATTTTAGGAATTTTAGGACACAAGAGACTGTGAGGGCCCTCACAGGTTAAAAAATGTATGATGATGGCTGTATCTGAGTGGGAAGAGGAGTGGGAAACCGTAGGAAGGTGGAGAGAAACAGTCTCTTGGGGAACAGCTGCCTCGGGGTAGAAGCAGAAGGGTAGTTTGAAGTAGAGGGTGGAGATCTCTCAGGCCAACATCGAGAGGGATGGATGGAAATGCGTGGTTGTTTATATCAACACTGATATATGGAAGTGTTTTAAGCTAGCTCTGGTAGCACAGGCCTACCACCCCAGCATCTGGGATGAATCAGGAGTTTAAGGCCAGCCTGGATTACGTGAAACCATGGCTCAAAAAGAAAAAGAAAAAAAGTACTTTCAAGAATGTCTACTCCATATTGTAGGCAATGGCAGACCGAAGAGATGGATTATGTCTATCTCTGAGTAAACTCATATTGAATTCATGAATTTTACCTGAATTAATGAATTTCACATTTATTTGGTGTGTGTATGTGTGTGCATATGCCATGGCATGTGTATAGAGGCCAGAAAACAGCTTGCAGAAAGTCATTTCTCTCCAACCATCACATGGGTCCTGGGAATCCAACTCAGACTGTCAGATTTGCAGTCATTGCTCTCCTGCTGAACCGTCTTGCATGCCTGAGTGAATGCGTTTAAATCAACTATTTGGGAACAGGAATGTTTTAGTTTCTTTTCTATTGCTGTGACAGAACATCATGAACAAGGCAACTCATAAAAAATGTTTAATTTGGGGCTTACGGTTTTAGAGGGTTAGCGTCCATGGCCATCATGATGGGGAGCATGGCAGCAGGCAGGCAGGCAGGCATGTGGCTGGAACAGTAGCTGAGAGCTCACATCCTGTTCTGTGAGTAGTAGGCAGAGCTAACCTCAAATGAGAGGCCACACCTTCTAATCCTCCCAAAATAGTTCCATTAATGAGGACCAGACCAAGCATTCAAACATGTGAGCATGTGGGACCCATTTTTACTCAAACTACTACAAGGAATCATCAGTTAGAATGAAAATACTTAGTGCCTTCCATAATACTTGGTAAAGACAACTGAAATTCTATGAGAAACATAGAATATGTGGATGTAGCCAGGCAGTGGTGGCATACACCTTTAATCCCAGCATTCTGGAGGCAGAGGCTGGTGGGTCTCTGAGTTTGAGGCCAACCTGGTCTACAGAATGAGTTCCAGGACAGTTAGGGCCCAATCTGAATATATATACATATATATATGTGTGTGTGTGTGTGTGTGTGTGTGTGTGTGTGTGTGTGTGTGTATTGAGTAAAAATAAATATATATATACACACAATATATTATTGATATATATCAGTAAAAATTCAGCTCATGTCTCCCAAGTTCTCTTCCATTCTCATTTGCCCTTTCCTCCTTGTCTTGCAGAAGCCCTGCAGAGGCCAGTGGCATCTGACTTTGAGCCCCAGGGTCTCAGTGAAGCAGCTCGATGGAACTCCAAGGAAAACCTTCTTGCTGGGCCCAGTGAAAATGATCCCAACCTTTTTGTGGCACTATACGATTTTGTGGCCAGTGGAGATAACACTCTCAGCATTACTAAAGGTAACAGGAAAACAGCAAGCAAGGGTGAGGGGGGTGGCTTGGCTGGCCTGCCCTTTGCTCCCTGAGAGGGCAGTTTTCTAGTGTGGGGACAGAGATACCTCCAGAGCACAGAGCCTACCCTTAGGAGGCTCCAGGGCAGCAGTCCTGTGCACATGCTTCCCGTGTTCCTACAAAAGAGGACATATGGATCTCAGGCTGGAAACATGGGGATTTGGTATTGTTTTTATCACCAGGAAAAAGCATTTTTTTCCCTAAAACATTTCCTTGCAGTAGGAACAGAACTTTTGAGTAAACTTGAATAATCTTAGATGCCAAGGCAGAGTTGTCTCCTGTGTACTCACGAGTAACAGGACAATGAGATGTGCTAGAGAAAGATGGGAAAGAAGAAAGCCGATCATCCAAACTGATACATCTGTTTGGTTCTTTTTTCTAAGGTGAAAAGCTCCGGGTCTTAGGTTATAATCACAATGGGGAATGGTGTGAAGCCCAAACGAAAAATGGCCAAGGATGGGTCCCAAGCAACTACATCACTCCTGTCAACAGCCTGGAGAAACATTCCTGGTATCATGGGCCTGTGTCCCGAAATGCTGCTGAGTATCTGCTGAGCAGTGGGATCAATGGCAGCTTCTTGGTGCGGGAGAGTGAGAGTAGTCCTGGCCAGAGGTCCATCTCCCTGAGATATGAAGGGAGGGTATACCACTACAGGATCAACACCGCTTCCGATGGCAAGGTGGGTAACCCCCTGACTAGGATCAGCAGTGATGGCTCCCTGGTCTTTGTGTGTAGGATTCTCTGAAAAGCACAGGGATACTCTTGGGTCTGAGATGTAAGTTTGTTTTGCTTTGTTTTTTTTTTTTTAATATTTATTTATTTATTTATTTATTTTGAGAAAGAGTTTCTCTTTAACAGCCCTGGTTGTCCTGGAACTCATTTTTTGACCAGGATGGCCTCAAACGCACAGAGATCTGCCTGCTTCCCAGTGCTGGAATTAAAGGCATGTGCCACCACTCCCAGCGGACTTTAAGTTCTTATAATAAGCCTCTTCCTTTTTGTAAATTTTTCTTATTTGTTCTTTGGGTTTTTGATACAGTCTCTGTGTTTTGTAGCCCTGGCTGTCCTGGAACTTACTCTATAGACCAGATTGGTCTCAAACTCACAGAGATCTGCCTGCCAAGTGCTGGGATTAAAAGTGTGTGCCACCACCTCCCAGCCCTTTATGTAAATTCTCATAGTGATGATGATTGAGATATTCAGTCAATCAGTAGTCCCCTCATGTGTAAAGCTGCAGGTCTCAGTAGCAGCACTTCCCTGGCCTTGACAACCCAATGTTCTTCCTGTGGTAAAGTATGGATATAGGTGCAAAATAAATGTACCCAACTTTTAAGAAAGGTCACATCAAAGTAAACCAATTGGTCTCCAAGCACAAAGTGTGTTTTCTAATTTTGTTGTAACATGTTATTTTGTGATCTTTGTGTAAACATTGTTCCTTAAATGTCCACAAAGAGAAGAAAAATGTGGTTAGTGCAGTTTTATCAGTGCTAGTGTCCTCTTCTCCTTTAACCCTCACCTCTACTCCTGGATGGTGCTATTTCATCTGCACTCCTGCGTCAGTAAGAGGGGGGCTTAGAGGGACAAGGCTTCCAGCCCAAGATTTTCACATAGGGAATAATTGAAGGCACCAGGCTGGGGTCCTCCTCTTCATGGCATCAGGTTCTGTCAGAGGACAGCATTGATTGGCAGGTAGCAGAGTACAGATGGCATGGACTTCTGTCTTAGTCACTGTTCTATTGCTGTGAAGATACCAAGAGGCAACTCTTTTATAAAGGAAACTTTTAATTGGGGGCTTGCTTACAGGTTCAGAGGCTTAGTCCATTATCATGGTGGGGAGCAAAGGGACAGGAAACGTGGTGGTGGGCAGGCATGGTGCTAGAGAAATAGCTGAGCTAATACATCCTGATATGTAGGCTGAGATAGAGAGGCTGGGCTTTTGGTTTTTCGAGGCAGGGTTTCTCTGTATAACAGTTCTAGATGTCCTGGCACTAGCTCTTGTAGACCAGGCAGCCTTGAACTCACAGAGATCAGCCTGCCTCTGCCTCCCAAGTGCTGGGATTAAAAGCATGTACCACCACTGCCCAGCTGGCATGGGCTTTTGAAACCTCAAAGCCTACCCCTAGTGACATACTTTCTCCAAAGAGCCATACCTCTTAATCCCTATAATCCTTTCAAATAATATCACTCCTGGTGACAAAGCATTCAGATATATGAGCCTATGGGGACCATTTTTATTCAAACCATCATAGCATCTAAATTATTTTTTGGGGGGCGCTGGCTCCATGGTGTAGCACTTGCATGTGACCTGGGGTTCTTTATGCAGTGCTGCAATTCATATATTTTTTTTTTTTGTTTTTAGAGATTGAGTTTCTCTGTGTAACAGCCCTGTCCTGGAACCTACTCTGTAGACCAGGCTGGCCTCAAACTCATAGAGATCCACCTCTGCCTCTCAAGTGCTGGGATTAAAGACATACACCACCACCACCTGGCTAATGTATATACATTTTGTACATGCACCCACACATTTTGTTTTTGAAAGAAGATCTTGTTATGTAGTGCTGGCTTGCCTGGACATCACTATGTAGCCCAGGCTGGCTTTAAACTTCTGGCCACACTCCTGCCTCTGAAGTCCTGACTGCTGGGATTAAGTGTGCACTGCCACACACAGCTTTGTTTCATGTTAGTATGTAATGAATGTTCGTGGTTTCAAATGGCAAGCTAATTACAATAAAAACTGTCTTGTCAGCCTGTTTAGACTTACCCAGTATATCTGTCCTCATGAAACGGAGACACAGGTGGTGCCTGCATACTGATGCTCCTTCCTTTCCAAGGTATTTTGAAGAGCTTCACAGTGGCTCATGTAGCCCTGCTTCTGTCCTGTAGTGGTCACACTGTAATCCAGCACTTGGGAAGATGAGGCAAGAAGATTGCTTAGTTTGAAGCCAGACATCATGACAGTGAACTGCAGTGTAAAACTATAGCAAAAAAAAAAAAAAATCAAAACAGAACAATTTTGTTTTGTTTTGATTTTGTTTGTTTTTTTTTTTGTTATTGTTTTGTTTTGATTTTTGAGACGCGGTTTGTTTTTATAGCCTTGGCTGACCTAAAACTAGCTCTATGTAGTCCAGGCTAGCCTTGAACTCACAGAGATTTACTTGTCTCCCAAGTGCTGGGATTAAAGGTGTGCACCACTACCTCTGGCACAAAAAAATTCTGACTGTGATCTCCTACATTTGTTACTATGCACTCGAGTATAAACATGGGTAAGATAGTGGCTGGAACTAATCACGAGTTATACGCTCTTTAAAGCTAGTGTCTAGGTTGCCAAGCCTCCTCTGCAGCGCTTGTTCCAGTCTGCCTTCGCAGATCTCTGGTGTAAGTCTCCAGACTTACCAGAGTAAGTACTTACCAGCTCTCACTAGACTATACGCCATCCTTGTTACTGATTGCTGAAGAAGGTGACCTTCCCAGATTCAGTACACATGTGTCATCCTTATTCCATGTATTAAGTTTGTCTTTCTCCTGCTTAGAGAAGTATGTGTGCTTCCCTTACAGGTGTAGAGAGGCCTATGGATCCTCAACTCTCCTTGAGGATTTTAGCATGACACTTTGAATAGTTAGCTGCATCTTTGTTCTTTGAATCCGTGTCTGATGGGCTGGCATCTTTGTCATCTTCTTTAGCATTTTCCTGGCTGGCTCACACATTCATTTGTAGCATGTGAGCATGTGTACTCTCCCTCCTAGAACTTGCTATGTGGACCAGGCTGCCCCACCGCTGCCTCCAGAGCACAGGGATTAAGGTCATGCATCACCACACTGGTCTATACGCCTCTGATTTCCTTCTTTTTGAGTGTTCATGTCTTCTTGCCTGTCTCTGAAGGCCTCTAGTGCAGCACTGTGGTTATTGTACAGGGTTAGACTGTTGGGATGTTTCAGTTCCTTTTCTCAACACTGAACAGATGCCTAACCAAAAGCAACTTATGGGGGGAAAGGTTTGTTTATTTGACTAGTCTTGGTGAGGTAGGTGTGGCAGGTGCTGCTGCTTGCTCACATCCCAGAAGATTAGAAGCAGAACCCCTCCCCCCTTTTTCCCAAACAGGAAAGCTATGTAGCCTTGGCTGTCCTGAAACTCTGTAGACCAGGCTGGCCTCAAACTCAGAGAGATCTGCAGGCATGTGCCGCCGCCACCTGACTTCTCCATCCCCGTTTACTCAGTCCATCCATTGGGGATGATATGCTGCCCCCATCCATTGGGGATGATCTTCCCTATCCAATCCACACGCTGTGAGTGCCTTTGGAATCTCCTCATTTAGGCAGGCTAGCCATACAGCTTGCAGTTAGAGCCAGGCTGCCTCAGACATGCAGTGGGTAGAGCTAGATCTTTACACTCTGGGGCGGACTCCAGAGTAGCGCTTCTTTAAAAAAAAACTGCAGGCTGCACAGTACCTAGGCTTTTCCCTAGGAGATGGGTTTCTGGAGATGACAGTTTGCTGTCCTCTGTTTTCTTTTTGTGGAGCAAGCCAAGCTGCTTCAGGATGACCACTGAGGTCCACACTGAGCAAGACCATGCTGTCTTGTCCCCAGAGTCCTTTCTTTAATCAGCAGCCTCAGAACAGTTTGGATAGGTGTGGTCTGAGGGACAACTCATTAGCTTGAGCTTAGTCTAAGTTCTGCTTAGAGTGGAGAAGAGTTTAAAGTCCCCTCTGTAAATCTGGTATGTGCTCAGAGTATACAGGCCACTCCCATGACTGGCAGCTCATCTGCTCCACCATGGAAAAGGTTCTCCTATCAGCCGTCCAGGCATCTGGAGACTTTGGAGGCTTCTCAGCCCTTGATGAGGCGTTTATCTACAGAAGTTCACATTCAAGGAAGCATTATTGGGTGGAATCATGTCCCAGGAGTGAGAGACAGGCGTCAGGATGGGGAGGTACCACAGCCCTGGCAGCATAGTGGGACTCAATTCTGAAGAATGCTTCCCACATAGCAGGGCTTTGATGCAATCCTCTTTGATTACTAAAGGGAACATTTCAGAATGCTGGGAGGGGCGGACTGGGGCTGATAAAGATGATATTTTATTTCTAAATCAGCCAATCAGTCACAACCAGATATAGAAGATTCTTCTGTCGGGCCCAAACATCTGACTTCCTACTTACTCTCTGTGCTCTGTGTTTTCTGAACCTCTCTTGCTTTTTGTTCCTACTCCTGCAAGCCACAGCTGTGCATTCCCACAGTTCCCAAGACCCTGAAGCCTTCCCTCTTCTTGAAGTTTCCTAGCTTCAGAAGTGACAGGCTCAAGTTGATAGAAGTGGAACCCAGGCAGGAAATATTGGCCCCAGGACCTCCAGATTATCTGGGCTTTGCCTTCCCTGGGACCAAGTGGTGGTGCGAGCATTCTTGGAGGAGCCTGCTAACTAACTACCTTCCTTTCAGAGGAACTGCTACGGGTGGGAACTTGAGGACTTTCTGTGAGCAGCTCTGAAAAGCCAGTCTGTCTCAATTCTAAAGCACAAGTGACATTGCCCTGTACCCTGGCACCTGGGAGTGTCTCATGAACACTCAGGAAGAGGCAGACTTCTGCCTGAGCATGCTGTATGTTTACAGGGCAGCACAGCACAGAACCAGTCACTCAGCACTAGCTTCACCTGCTTCTCTGAACGCACCCCAAATTCCAAATGCTTGTCCCAATCATCACCAGAGTTCTCAAAAACTAGAGCATTCAAAAGGCAACTGCCAGAGTGGGCGGTGTGATTCGGAACGTGGCTGGGAATGTTGGTGTGTAAATTTTAGGTTGGAAAATGAACTTAGTCACGGCTTTCTGAGGAATGGAAGAGATTGGGACCTGTTTCCCCAAACCCTACAGAGTGCACTATGTCTGTGGGATGTGAGGGTACCGAGCCAATGGTAGGCTGTGTGATTATACCCCACTCACTGCACTCACTATGTCCCCAGAGCTGTTGACAGGCTCGCCTCGGTGCTGTGAGGTGAAAGGGGGCCCTGCTGCTCAGATGTCCCTTCTCACAGACCACAGTTGTCACACAAGGAGTGAGGGGTATGTCTAGACAAATCTCGGTTGTCTTGCACTTTTATTTTAGTAGACTTATAGATACATATTTGGCCTGCCTAAGTCTAAAAATTGTGTTATATCCTTAGCAAGCAGAAAAGGGGAGCATAGATCTGCTACTGAACCCTTGTGATTATCTCCCTTTAAAGTTTTAATGATCCAATATTAATACTATAAGCTACAAAAATAACCATGTCTGCATTTTACTGCCATAATGAAATAACCTGAAGCAGCTAATTCACAGAGGACAGTTTTATTTAGCTCTTCGTGTAGAACACTGTACATTGAAGCCGCATGGTACAGACTGATAATGGCCCCTGGCACAGTGGCAGTGAATTGGCGGAGTAGTCAGTCCATTGAATGCATGCAGGAACAGACTTTTCATCTGAGATGGAGGAGGGGCCAGGCTGGTTCCTTCGTAAGCACTGTCTGAGGGATCTGGCGCAGGAGAGCTTTGGGCCCCCAACAAGACCTTATGTACCTCCTCTGAGACCACACTTCCCCACCTCATCGTCCAAGGGAATGAATGTTCATATCATGGTGACAGTGGTGCTCAGTATACCCAACAGCCAACGGCCTTGTGCCTTCTGTGTGTCTTACCCCTCCCCCCACACTGTTCATATGTCACCCTTTCTTTCTATGCACGTCTCACCAGGTATCAGTACTGTCTGGGTCCAGCCTCTCCTGCCCACCATGAGGTTGCTGCCGGGGCAAGTCAGGGTGCTCTGTGATATGCCTGGGGCCCAGATGTTCCATGTAGATGTGAGCATGGAGCAGTTCCTTCCCACAGCACTGCAGCAGGAGACAAAGGTGGCTGCCCTTCCCACCATGTGCTTTCTGCCCATGTCCACAGGAGAACTCTGCAGAGTGTTCCTGGCAGGCCCCCTGTGCTGTGGCTCTCAGAAAAGTCCCAAAGCACCCCTTCTCAAGAGTCTTCCTATGTTCCCATCTTGGTTAAGGCTGTGTTGTCTTCTTGCCTACAAGGTGCCAATAGAAACAGCCTCCCCAGGCAAGCTGCCAGCAATACAAGTCTTGGTGTCTGGTGCCTTACACCAAGTCCCAAGCAAGCAGAAAGCTTGAGGAGACACTTGCTTCGTTATCAGTTCCCACCCTCCGACCACTGTGTACTTTAACATTTATGATTATAAATTGAATTCTTTTCTTTCCTAGTCAGCAAGTTCGTAAGTTCTGCTGTTCATTCATCAGCAAGGACTTAGTACCTATTTTGGAGTAGTTTCTTATCATGGGAACAACAGGATGGAAAAGATGGCCCAGGCTGTGCTCCCTTGGAGCTTAGGTTCAGTTGGGTGGAGACAGAGCTGTCAGTTAGTAGTGAAGAAAAGTAAGACAGGTGATGCTGCCTGCCCTCTGCCCTGGTGGTGACTTCAGATTGGGCACTCAGGGAAAACACTTCAGTTGGAGGGCAGGGACTAGAGAGATGACTCTTCAGGATTAAGAACATCGACTGCTGCTCTTCCAAATGTTCCCAGTTCCGTTGCCAGCACCCACACGGTGGCTTACAACCATTCTCTATATAATTCTGGTTTCAGGGAGTTTGATGCCTTATTCTGGCCTCCAAGAGAGAGCACCAGACATGCATGGTGCACATATATACATACATGCAACTACCTATACACATAAAACAAAAATAAAAAATTAATTAAAAGTAATACATTGTTGGCTTGAGGCCAGCCGGGTCTGCAGAGCAAGTTCCAAGATAGCCAGAACTATAGAGAACTATACAGAACTATACAGAGAAATCCTGCCTCAACACAAAGCAGAGTAATGCATTGGAGGATAACGGGGAGGGAGGGGATCAGCAGAGGCAGGTGCACATGCCCTCAGACTTCTGAGTGTCTCTGTCAGTAAGTTCTACCCCTGCTAGAAAAGCTTTGGAGGGTGACTAAACCATAAACAGCCTTTTCCCCTGGTGTTTGCTCTGTGAATGAGGACTGTTACCTATCTTCCTCAGCTCTATGTCTCCTCGGAGAGCCGCTTCAACACTCTGGCCGAGTTAGTTCACCATCATTCCACGGTGGCTGATGGACTCATCACCACGCTCCACTACCCAGCTCCCAAGCGCAACAAGCCCACCATCTATGGCGTGTCCCCCAACTATGACAAGTGGGAAATGGAGCGCACAGACATCACCATGAAGCACAAGCTGGGTGGCGGCCAGTATGGGGAGGTGTACGAAGGTGTATGGAAGAAGTACAGCCTGACTGTGGCTGTGAAGACCTTGAAGGTGAGTTCAGGTCCTGGTTGAAGGGTGTAGGTGGGGTGTCTGCTGTGGCTCCACAGGTGCTGTCCAGTGCTGAGGGTCGGGAAAGGCTCCTAGAGTCTCTTGTTCTGTGGGAGCGTTCTTTCAAAGTCTTTCTGTTCTTGTTGGGTGACATGGAGGCCACTTCCTTATGAGAGTTCAGAGAAGCACAGAGTTGGGGTTGGAAAAGGAGAGTAATGAGGGATGAGTCCTCTGTGGGCTGATACAAAAGGCAGGTGTGTGGTGTCCTGGCACCGTCCAGTTCTCTCCCACAGGCCAGGCTTCTGCACACAGGAGTGAGGCCTTTCTAGAACAGCTCCAGTAAGCCATTATTACTGAGCTATGGCCTTCCTTCTCTGTAAGGTTAGGACCCCAATCCCTGCATCTGCACAGCCTGAGCTTGTCCCTGAGATGAGAGTGTCCCCTAGTGTTCACCTACAGTGTTTGCTTTTGCCTGTTTTAGACAAACTGATGATACAGCCTGTGAGTAGCCGCCAGAAAAGGGCCCGGGAAAACAGACCAGAGTGTGTGCTTGTGTCTCAGCTCAGTCAGGCAGTGCATCTGACAGGCTCAGCTCTGCTCTAAAAGACAGTAAAATAGAGGCTGGACTTTTGGTTACCAAAAGTAACTGTTTAAAGCAAGACTGCCTCCTCCCTTGATTCTAGAAGGAAAAGCAGCTTTCTGAGCACCACAGTTAGTATTTCCCCTCCCTTTGGCCCTGGGGGAAGAGGAGCATAGGTGCAATTTCCTGGAGTACTCTTTAATATTTTCCAAATTCAGTTTTTTTAAAATTTAACAAAGGCAGAGTTCTTTGTATTTATTGGCTAAACCCTAGTGCTCAGGCTGGGTGGTCCACATCAGATGAGAAATGGAGATGGCAGTACAGTGGGTCAGGGCAGTGTCTGACAACAGCTCTGCCATGCAAGGAGGAGGCAGTGATGCCTGCAGTGGTTAGAAGAATGGGAATCATGGCTGTGATGAAGGGCAGAGGCCAGGAAGCCTTAGTGAGGAGGAGGCAGGTGCTCAAGGCAGGTCTGATTCCGTCCGTTTTGCATAGCATGAGGGGAGAGAGCTGATCCATGTCAGTACACCTGGCCACGGTGGCACTGGCTGCGAGGGCCAGGCACCACTGGCAGGGATTTACAAACACAGCAAGGAAGAGGGAAACAACAACAAGGGAAGGCTAATTTGAAAACCTTCAAGAAAGATAGAGGGCCTGCACGGTGACTCAGTCAGTAAATGCACCTGATGGCAAGCCTGACAACCTAAGGTTTATCCCTTGAGCCTGCATGATGGCAGGAGAGAAGGACTCCCAGAAGACTCCCCAGAGTTGTCCTCTAACCAGCACACACGTGCCATAACACATGCCCTCCACACACAATAGATAAGTAATGTGAAAAACACAGCATTTAAAAAGAGGTAGAAGTTGCACAGGGGGAACAGTGGAAGGGATTCTGGAGGAGGGTCTGTTCTGGTACTTTCTGCTGAGACCTCAGTGAGTTTCCCCAAGAGCCTCATTAGCGTGTGTGCCATGGTTGATAGAGTGACAGGGTCTGTTGGGTAGGAGTTCTCATGGTGCACAGCACCTGACCACGGAGAGGCAGTACACCCTCTGTGGAGGTGTGTTACCTCCAAACACATACTGTACAACCACTGCCCAGTCCTGCACACAGCTCTGCAGTCTTGTCAGATAAGAGTAATAAAGTGTTTTGGTTCTTTATCTCCTCTGCAGATGTTGAGAACTATACTAAACTAAGCTAATGGCCAAAGTTACCATGCAAATACAGGCCCACAGAGTTCTCTGTGTGTTCATAAGCTTAGTCCACCCAGCAGCACCGTAGCACTCACAGGTGCCAAGACAGGGAACCGAATATGAATGCTATCACCATTAAGGCTGTGGAAGCTGGAGTACTGAGCCTGAATTCGAACCCAGGCACCTAGATCCCAAGCCCAACTCTTTTTGCCATCTCCCTCATCCCTTATGACAGTGGTTCTCAACCTTCCTGGTGCTGCAGCCCCTTAATACAGTTCCTCATGTGATGACTCCAACCATAAAATTACTTCGTTGCTACTTCATAACTGTAATTTTGCTACTGTTATGAATTGTAAATATCTGATATGCAGGCCGTCTAATATGCAATCCCAAAGGGGTAGCAACCCACAGGTTGAGAAACCACTGCCCTATGGCCTTCCCCTGCTGACTGTAGCTATGAAACACCCCTCAGAGAACCCTACTGGTCTTTCCAGCTTCATTCTTTCAGCAGGCTCACAAAGCAGCGCTTCCTCCCGTCCTTAACCAGCAGGGGGTGCAAGACCTGCTTGTCCTTGGACCCAGCCCTCCCCATTCATCCTGGAAGGCAGGTTCTGCCTTTGGAGAGCAGGGAAAGAGAAAGGCACTTGGCTGACCTCTATAGATGGGAAACTGTAGTTGCACTGTGGAAAGCAGGATTCTGCAAGTGGATGCAGCGCCTGGGTTGTTGTATAGATTTGGATTTTGCTGTTTGACTTTGAGAGCTTTAGTGCTACTATGTGCATAGGTGAATCTAGCCTTGACCTTATTACAGTGTATTGTCATGCCCAACATAGTGTGCTGAAGAAAAATAACTCTTAAGCCTGGGGAGAGGACTCAGTGAGTAAAGTACTTCTATGCAAGCGTGAAGCTGACCAGGGTAGCATGTCTCTAACCCAGTGCTGCTATGGCAAGGAGGGGGCAGAGACAGAGAGTGCTGGAAGCATGTAGGCCACTCTGCCTGGAGTGCAGTGCAGCAACAGACGACAAGCAGGAAGGTGAAAACTTTACCCAAGTTGTTCTCTGACCTGTAAGCATGTGCTGTGGCACGTACACCATGGCACATCTGCATGCTTTGCATGCACACACATGCACACCAAAACAAAACCCCAAAACAAACATCTACCAGGCTTTTTTAGGGGGGGCCACCAACCAGCTCCCAATTCATAACACAGACACTCAGTTATGAATGTTCAGCCTAGTTGAGACTCATTTCTGGCTAGCTCTTTTAACTTAAATTAACCCGTTTCTCTCTACATTTTGCCTGGGGCTTTTTACCTTTCTTCTTTTGTATAACTTACACTGTTTCTTGTGGCTGGCTGGTTGGCGGCTGCCTGGCTTCTGGCCCCAGGCGTATTCCTCATTCTTTCATCCTCCCTCTTTTGTTCCTCTCAAGCCTAGATTTCTCCTATTTATTCTCTGTCTGCTAGCCTTTCCTATCCTTTCTCTGCCTAGCTATTGGCTGATCAACTCTTTATTAGACCAGTGGAGGCCTTAGGCAGGCAAGGTGAAACAAATGCTACATCTTTACATAATTAAACAAATGTGGCATATTCAAATGTAACATATCTTTTACCCAGTTAAAGAATATTCCACACGGGGCTAGAGAGATGGCTCAGTGGTTAAGAGCAATGCCTGCTCTTCCAAAGGTCCTGAGTTCAATTCCCGGCAACCACATGGTGGCTCACAACCATCTGTAATGAGGTCTGGTGACCTCTTCTGGCCTGCAGACATACACACAGACAGAATATTGTATACATAATAAATAAATAAATATATATTTTTTTTAAAAAAAAGAATATTCCACAACACAAACAAACAGCTATTGAGTACAAGGAGCCTAGATTTTTAAAGGAATTATATTCCAAACGTCTTTCAAATTAGTTGAGACTACTTTGGGATACTGACTCAGAAGCTCACTGACAGAGCAACGGGAAACAGCCAAAAGCGAAGCAGCGTACCGAGCCCCAATGTGAGCATATAGTGTCCTTCCCCCTGCTGGTGGCTGGGGTCCTGACTACATCCCCGTCAGCATTGAGAAACTACTGTCTCCCTGAGGAGCAGCAGATCTGCCTGCCCCCCCCCGAAATGGTTTATTGGGGACTCTAGAAACAGCCAACAGAAAGGGGGCTCTGCAACAGCATTGACATTTGGCAGCCACACTGCAGGTTCCACATAGGCCTGCATACCAGAGAGAAAGACTCTGTGACTGGAGCTTGTTGTACCATGGTGGCTGGTTACTGTACTGCCATCCTGGCAGGACTCTGCTGACTGTGGAGATCAGTATTTGAGATGGCCATGATGTTTGAGAACAAGTGCTTTTTTTGTGGGAAGTAGCTACAGGCTAGATGTGGAACTTAGCTTCTACACCTGCTTCCCAGCACAAGGGCTAGTCAGGAGCCAGCATCTCCCCACAGTGCTCTTAGCCTTGTGTGTGCGTGCCAGGCCACTGTGCTGTTGGCCACACTCACCTGAGAGCCCAGGAACAGTTATTTCTAAAGTAATGCCCCTCTTAAGCTGTAGACTGCTACACTTGGGACAAGGCCAGGAAGCATGTTAGATAGATGTCTGTTGTTGAGTCTCAGTGATTGTGTCTGTGCAAAGACAATAAAATAAAGGTCGGTATTAGAAAACCAGTCTGTCTTCCAGAAGAGCTGTGTGCTTGCTCCACCTCTTAGCACCAGAGGCAACTGCCGCAGCAATAGGAGCACGTGCCTCTGCTGCCTGCTGGCTAGGCACTGAAAACGTCTTCCGAGGCTGAGGTGGCCCAGCTCCAGTGCTATCCAGTATGCACAGAGCCTTGAGCTTGCTCCTTAGCACTGTATACAGATGCTATCTGCGGAGAGGTGGAGGCAGAAGGAGCAGGGGTTGGAGGTCATCACATGAATGAAACCCTGCCTCAATTAAGGAAGGAAAAAAGGAGAGAGGAGAGAGGGGTTAGGAGGTAAGGGGTTCATAGAAGATGAAAGAGAGAGAGAGAGAGAGAGAGAGAGAGAGAGAGAGAGAGAG